TATTGTCCTGCAGATTATAGGTGGGCTGGACTGTGGCCAGTGGTAGTAGAAAATGCCTCAGCATCAGTGGAGGCAACAATTGCCTCAGGCTTGGGAGTAAGATAATTACATAGCAGTAGTCACTAGGAGGAGAGATAGTACCCCACCATTGATATTAGTTAAAGGAATAATGCCCTCTTGATGGTGTATGTGGGAGGAATAGGTGTAATGGTTGTGCACATTAGGCACATGCAGGCTGTAGGCATCGACCATTTTGTTTAGGTCCCAGACATTTTTGTCATGAGAAGAGGCATAACCCAGTGATCTTACCCTTTCCCTCCTCCTAAAATTCATGTAATTCATAGACTTAACTTTTAATGCACTTTAAAAGAGCCTGTTATCTCAACTTAGGGACAACATACACCAGAACACAGGCCTTTTGCAGAGCTGTAAACAGCTAATTAAGCCCTGGCAAGATGTCTGATGACCATAAAATACAAATCTACAGATTAACACTTCACTCTGACCTATTGTAAAACTATGAGAAAATCCTTCGGTTCTGTTAACCATGGTTTGGAGGGCAATTAAAGCACTAGGAACACATAGTGTGCCATACAATGGGGATCCTAGAGCAGTCAGGCTTGCAGTGACCTTTTGAAGACCCCTGCCCAACACAACATTTCAAAACTACACACAATTCATAAAATCAGACAGGACCAAGACACATCAATATTAGTTATATATTTGAATAGGGAATATCATACCGAACAAATCGAGATCATACATGGCTAAGCTATAGTATACAGAAGGTTAGATAGCAGTCAGATTGCTCCTGGTTGACAGGCCCCTCTGATATACTTTGTGTTTGATATTCCTGGACATGAAAAATAATGCTGAACAATAATCTACCAATTTCTAGAATGCAACCTGTACATATTGAAGATATTCATATTAGTATAAAACTGTGTGTAAGGGAGGGCCACAATACAGTCATAAACACAGTGACAACCCCATGGCCACTCCTCAACCGCTTAATTGGTCAGATGGTCTCTGACAATGCCCCTGATACCAGAGAAACAGAGACTGCTCAAAAAGTTGACAGCTCTCGTGTACCATCAACCAAGAAACATCTGTCAAGTTATTAGAGCCAATAACACATTACTCACCCTTGACTAAACTCTGCTAAAACCAAGGACTTTGCAGGTATTTTCTTTTTTTTCACGTCCTGTCTTGCTGTTGCTTGTTCTCTTTGTTACTTTACAATATTTTTGTTCTTGTAAATATTTTATTTGCATCATTTTGACCTTTTTATTATTAAACCCTATTTTGAAGTGTGTTGAAATTGTCTCTAAATGCACTAATGCAAACAAAAATAATCCCTGTCTCTTGAAGAGTGCTACTGTAGTATAAACCCTCTGAATATGCCTGTCTGTGGTGACAGTGCATGTTACAGATGTTTATTATAAAATCATAGTTGTTATTGCTAAGATTGTGAGTTTCCTCCTTCTCAGTCAAAAGGTTGTGGTGGTAGCTTAAAGAGTTAATTGCTTAGTTAAGTTAACCCAGTGACAATCGCTCTCAGGCTACTGGCACCTAGATTGCGGTCCCGCAAGCAGAAAAATGGAAGACATTATGCCTCATTGTTGGTGTCAATGGAAGTAGAAGGAATTATGTGCCGGTGTTGGTGTCAGTGGAAGGAAAGGTGCCTCATTGTTGGTGTCAATAGGGGAAAAAGCACCTTATATCATTGGAAGGAATGGTGCCCCAAGGTTCCTGTCATGTACTTGGTAGAGGCTGAGCTGGCGAGAGGACCACCCTTACACCTCTTGCCCTGTTTCCCCTAGGAAAGGTAGCAGGATATAACAACAACAATCAGAGTACCACAAGTGCCTGCAGGGGATCTGGTTTAGGATGTCTTGATAGCACATGCAGAGCTGAAGAAGATCAGCTGGCAACAGGCAGGTACAGGATCTCTGATACATGGTCAGACAGGCAGAGGTCAGCAACAAACGGACAGCAGGATTGCCAAATCAGAAACCAAGAGCAGAGTCAGAGCCTGGCCAGGGTTAGCAATAGACGAGCAAAGTGGGCACTGGAACAGCAGGAACGAAGCAAGGTCAAATCACAAGCCAAAGTCGGCAACAGGAGTTCAGGAACGAGCAAGATTCAGCAAGCTGGGTCAGAATACAGGAGTACGCAGGATCAGGTCACAAGCAAAGGGAGCTGATGACCACTCAGCAATCATCCTAAGTCCAGTAGGGCTTTAAATAGGCCATTGGGCACCAGAACAAGCACGCTCACGTGCATGCACACGTGCTTGTGTACATGCGTGCAGGATCCTAATTCTGTGAACAGTTCTATTGCGCGCATGCACATTTCTTTGAGCACAGGCATTTCTTTGGGCATGGCAATTCCTTTGAACATGCACTTGAGTGTGGGTTTCCCGACAGTCCCGTTAATGGCAAACAAAGGGATGCATCTGGTTTGGAGTTTGGAGACCACTGTGCTAGACCAAAATATATTGGTACATTTAAATAAATAAATAGTGTGGCGCTCTAAAAATAGATATATAAATATATATATATAAACATAACCATTAGTAGTACGTGACCAAATAAATAAGTGACCAATTCATAAAGTGAATTAATTACAGTATGTTCAAAAGATATAAATAAATACCTCAAGTGATTTAAATAATAACTCCAAGTTATGTTGTTACATGAAAAACATTCCATAAAGTGATCATATATAATTATATCCTGTATAAAGTGAACAACGTGCTAAAGTGCCAATAAAGTGTACAAAAACATATATTTCAATTCTTGAATATTCTTAAAACTCTCAGTCCATCAAGTTATAACCGAATCATGCGATGTGTAGTGATAAAAAATAGTGATTTGTGCCAAACTCCTCTCCTACAGGTGGCTAAATTGCCTCCTCACCTCCTCCCGGTGACCACTAAGGGCCAGCAGGCTTGCAGGATCACCCTGGATCCTTATTCCACAAAAGACCAGCAGCTTTTCTCCTTTTTTTTATGAGACTCCTGTTTCTCTCACTCCACCAGGATATTCCTGAAGGACAATGACTCACCAGTCCAGTGAGTCAAAAAAGAGAATGCCCTCTAAGTGCAGTAATTAATGACTCCTTTATTTTCAAAAAAAGTATAGAGTGACAACACTCACATTTTCTGTCAGTCCACCCTCCTCACCGATGTGTGGGTGTACTCCATGTGCATGGGACTTCCTAGGTGTAGCAAGATGGCGTCTTACGCCGGAAATACGTCACCGCGCACCGGAAACTGCGGACTCGCGAACCTACGCGTTACGTCACTGTCTGCTCGTGACTTCCTCGGGGTATCGCATGACAGGCACAGTTCCTCCCTTTATAGCTACCTAAGCAATTGTGGCCCGCCTCGTAAACACCCGCCATTTTCATGAAGCCTTCCCTTTCTTTTAACCGCGGCCATTTTCTTAGTGCCCTACTATATCCTTGGTGCCTCATATCACACTATGGGAACACTTTTGGAATACATCCTATAAAAAAGTCAATGCTATACAACTTACAAGACTTATAAGTCTTTACTCAAATTATGAAATCTATACTGCATCTCTTTGATCTAACCCTAAAAGACTATGAATAATAAAATATAAAAAGATAATGTTTTATTAGAATGATGTTAAAAAAAAAAAAATTAAAAAATCATTAAAAAAAAAAATATATATAAAGAATATACTTGGGGGGGGGGGGGGGAATCTTCCTATAAAACCGACACTCAAAAAAATTCTGAAAAATATTTAATATTTAATATTTAAATATTCAAATATTAAAATCCTCCCTTCATCATGTAGTCTACCCACACATTTACATTAAAAATCAATAAAAAAAAAAAAATAAAATTTAATAAAAAATAGATTTTAAAAAATCCTTTTCACATAATCATACATATATAAAAACCTTTAATTTCATATGTATATATATAAAAAACATTGTGTACATTGTGTCCTGACCCAGGGACGTTAGTGGCATGTCATTTCAGTGTGATGTTCCTAGCACAGGGAGCTATAATATTTAAAGGATGAAATCCAGGTGCCAAGATATATTGTTTCAAAAATGGAGGGATTTGAAGCCAAATGGTGAACAATTCCTCCAAAAGATGGCATAGTTAAGACAATGTTTCTATCGTGTGTGTGCACCCTCTTTCTTATTTCTTTTTCTCTTTTACCCTTTTTTCCCAATCTTCTTATATTCTCTTCTCCTCTTTCTATCCCTTCCTCTCTCTCTCGTCTGCTCTTCTTGGTGATCAGAGGGAATAAACAATGCCCTGTCACCTAAAGGGAAAATTCTTGCCATCAGTCATGTCAAAAAGAGGAAGGCGGGAGGAATAATCCCCAATCGTTGGTGTCAGTAGGAAGAATGGTGCTCCTTTGTTGGTGCTAGTGGGAGGACAGAACAGTGCCTCATCATTGATGCCAGTGAGAGGAAGGGTCCCTTAACATTGGTGTTAATGGGAGGAAAAGTGCCGCTTCACTGTTGTTAGTGGGAGAAATGGTGCCCCATTGTTGATGTCAGTGGAAGGAATAGTGCCCCATTGCTGGTTTCAGTGGGAAAAATAGTGTCCTATTATGTGTTTCACTGGTTGGAACAGTTTTCCATTGTATTGATGATATTAGGAAACCCCATCCAGCATTGGTGTTCAGAATTTAAAGTTCAAGGATTACCTTTGAATACACTTTATCTCCCACACTGCCTCTCTATTTTTTAGATGGCATAACAAGCAGAACTATGTAGACATTGTCAGGCAGGAAATAACTCCTTCCGACAGTGCTGTTCCATGGTGCCTGGTGTCATATTTTTTCTCATCACCAGTAACATGCAAACATTCATTACGTAAAAGAAATAGTCTGCTTCTTTTGGTACAAGGGCTTCCCTGTTAACTGATATAGGACTTCTTTCTGTGTCATTCTATTTTGATCTGTTAGTGGGTCAGTTTTATGTTTAACAGCAATTTCTCCAATATTCAGGTAACTCCAAGCAGGGTTTGCGCTGTAAAATGTGTAAGATTGGAGTTCATCTGTGGTGCTCAGAGGAAGTGTCACACCAACAATGTCTGGGAAAGACGGTAAGATGCTATATTATTTATATATATATGTATTATTATTATTATTTTTTTTATTTTTTTTTATTGAAAGTGATACAAAAGTCATTTTTTAGCTTAAATTAAATAAAAAAAAGATGTTATACTTACCTGCTCTGTGCAGCGATAATGCACAGAGCAGTCCATTACCTCCTCTTCTGGTGTCCCCCAGCAGCATTGTCTACTTCTTTTCTTCTCTGAGTGCCCATCAGCAAGTGGGGTGCTGAGGGGGAACCCGTGCACGCATGCTCCCCACCCAGGCTATGTGCATCCATAGACACACGCAGCAGTAAGTAGAAGTACATTAAAGTAAAAAACATTTAAAGGGTAACTCCACATTTGTGGGGAAAAAAATTAGCAAATAAAAAAAAAATTTAATATAGCATATACCATTGCAACACAAGTCATATTGTAATTGAATGTTATTATAAATTTCCTTTCCCTTTTAATCTGCAGTCCTGTCAATTTCTGTAAAATGCAATGCAAATTCTACCTGGAGGCATTCTGTACACAGGTGGTGTACAGTACACCCCTCAGAAATGTAATTTCCTGTTTGTGTGATTGGCTCACTGATTTTCCTATAAGTCTGCACTCAGATATAAATCAGATTTTGAGCATCCTCTGCAACAAAAATTTAATTTTTAGTGAGATACTCCCAAAGGGAAATCACATCTAAAGGGATGCAGACACTGATAATTTCCTCATTAGAGCCCTGCAGGTGCAGCAGCTGATAGATAATTGTGAAACCACTCCCGTACAGATTGACTCTATACATGCACACAGACAAACAGCTATTCCTTCAGCATAACAAAATGTAAGAATTTGCAACAAAGTTTGTTAAAATACCTGCAATGTACATAGATCACCCAGAGTAGAAAGTTTTTTTCTAGAGGAAAGTGGAGTTACTATTGAAACTTTATAACCACTTTAAGTTGTATGTCTACACTTTTTTCATCTAATATAAACATTGGTAATTATTTTTATTATTCTGCCCATTTTTTGTAGTTTACTTGTCAATAAGGATAATATAAAATAAAATCTGGGTAGTAGTGACCATAACATGATCTCATTCAATAGAAAATTTAGTATACACATACATTGTTTTTTTTATTTATTACTGATGACTTATCGTTTTCTTTTACATAAAGATACAGATTTCTTTGTTTTTTGATTTTTATTTGTATTCATAGTTTTTCGTCTTGTTTCATTTAAAATTCAATGTGGATATGTTTTCATTTTTATATACCATTAGCAATATGATTTTAGAGACTAAATGAGAATTTCACTTTATCTTGAAACTGTATGACATGTTTGCTTTCCACTGGATCTTCATCATACCTGGTGCAAAATACACCTCCGGAACATGAGTGTATTTCTTATGTTTAATTGATAAATAAAAGTTTAAAAGGATAAAGCACTACGTTGAGTTCTTTTTAATGAGGAATACAGCTGATACAAAAACGCTTATCAGGAGAGAGCTTACTTTGGAGTCTTCATTCAGCAAGCTGATCTCCTGAGTCCATATGGGACCAAAAGTGCAGTTAGACCGTAACATTGTATAATGTGAGGTCACACTGTGTGAGGTGAGCAGATACAGTTAGGTCCATAAATATTGGGACATCGACACAATTCTAACATTTTTGGCTCTATACACCACCACAATGGATTTGAAATGAAACGAACAAGATGCGCTTTAACTGCAGACTGTCAGCTTTAATATGAGGGTATTTACATCCAAATCAGGTGAACGGTGTAGGAATTACAACAGTTTGTATATGTGCCTCCCACTTGTTAACAGACCAAAAGTAATGGGACAGAATAATAATCATAAATCAAACTTTCACTTTTTAATACTTGGTTGCAAATCCTTTGCAGTCAATTACAGCCTGAAGTCTGGAACGCATAGACATCACCAGACGCTGGGTTTCATCCCTGGTGATGCTCTGCCAGGCCTCTACTGCAACTGTCTTCAGTTCCTGCTTGTTCTTGGGGCATTTTCCCTTCAGTTTTGTCTTCAGCAAGTGAAATGCATGCTCAATCAGATTCAGGTCAGGTGATTGACTTGGCCATTGCATAACATTCCACTTCTTTCCCTTAAAAAACTCTTTGGTTGCTTTTGCAGTATGCTTTGGGTAATTGTCCATCTGCACTGTGAAGCGGCGTCCAATGAGTTCTGAAGCATTTGGCTGAATATGAGCAGATAATATTGCCTGAAACACTTCAGAATTCATCCTGCTGCTTTTGTCAGCAGTCACATCATCAATAAATACAAGAGAACCAGTTCCATTGGCAGCCATACATGCCCACGCCATGACACTACCACCACCATGCTTCACTGATGAGGTGGTATGCTTAGGATCATGAGAAGTTCCTTTCCTTCTCCATACTCTTCTCTTCTCATCACTCTGGTACAAGTTGATCTTGGTCTCATCTGTCCATAGGATGTTGTTCCAGAACTGTGAAGGCTTTTTTAGATGTCGTTTGGCAAACTCTAATCTGGCCTTCCTGTTTTTGAGGCTCACCAATGGTTTTTCCATCTTGTGGTGAACCCACTTTATTCACTCTGGTGAAGTCTTCTCTTGATTGTTGACTTTGACACACATACACCTACCTCCTGGAGAGTGTTCTGATCTGGCCAACTGTTGTGAAGACTGTTTTCTTCACCAGGGAAAGAATTCTTCGGTCATCCACCACAGTTGTTTTCCGTGGTCTTCCGGGTCTTTAGGTGTTGCTGAGCTCACCGGTGCGTTCCTTCTTTTTAAGAATGTTCCAGTTGTTTTGGCCACGCCTAATGTTTTTGCTATCTCTCTGATGGGTTTGTTTTTGTTTTTCAGCCTAATGATGGCTTGCTTCACTGATAGTGACAGCTCTTTGGATCTCATCTTGAGAGTTGACAGCAACAGATTCCAAATGCAAATAGCACACTTGAAATGAACTCTGGACCTTTTATCTGCTCATTGTAATTGGGATATTGAGGGAATAACACACACCTGGCCATGGAACAGCTGAGAAGCCAATTGTCCCATTACTTTTGGTCCCTTAACAAGTGGGAGGCACATATGCAAACTGTTGTAATTCCTACACTGTTCACCTGATTTGGATGTAAATACCCTCAAATTAAAGCTGACAGTCTGCAGTTAAAGCACATCTTGTTTGTTTCATTTCAAATCCATTGTGGTGGTGTATAGAGCCAAAAATGTTAGAATTGTGTCGATGTCCCAATATTTATGGTCCTGACTGTATATGGTGGAGGATGTCTTTGCACAGGAATTGATGACAGATGCATATGTTTTTTGTTATCCAAAGGAGGGTTCACTGAATGAACACTTTATTGATTGAACTTGATTTTTGGAATTACTTTTGTTTGATTCACACTTAAAAATATTCTTTATTTTTTGTGTTTTTTTGTTTTTTTTTATATATATATATATATATATATATATATATATATTATTTTTTTTTTAATTTATTTTTTTTTTTTTCAATATTAATTTTTTTCTTCTATTTTTATCTTTATAATATATTTTTTTTATTTTTGCACTTTGTTTTTTGGTTATATTAGGATTGTGCCATTGTTTCATATAGCGCAGCATTTTTTCACTTCACATTATGATTGTATAATTTGTCCCACTGAGGCATGGGTTGTGTGCACTAGCGGCTACAGTATTTAATTGTAATTTTTTGTTTTCATTCCACTATAGTTAGCGCTTGAGTTATTCATTTTATTTAAGCTTTAAAGTCTACAGGCTTAGAAAATTCAGTATGTAAATGAATAAAAGACCATCCTCAGAGAGTAGTAATTAATGATTTATACAGAAAACTGGTCACCTACCCAGGTCTATAACTGGCTTTTTAAACAGTGAACATGGAGGGCGTCACTACGTGAAAAAGTAAAAAAGTAGGACCATCCAGTTCAACTTGCCAGCCTACCCCAGTCTAATAATGGCTATTGTCAGCAAGGAACATGGATAGGTATAACTTATCAACAAAGGGGGATAAGAAAAGCCAGTTCAATCTGCCAGCCAGCTAGCCAACTATCAAAAACCAAATTAACCTGTCTAAAAAACATACGTTTAAAAATAGGGGTTTAGTTGGCACACATTTGCAAATACATACATAAGCCACAGAGCCACATCACGGCACCCTGAGTATCTGTGGTCCTAACTCTATAAATCTTGAGAGTCCTCACAGTGGAGGCACATGCATTAAATGGATTTATACTCTGAATGGTCTAAGGTTATTAGTGGTGTACCCCAAAGTTCAATGTTGGAACCCTTACTTTTTAACTTATTTTGGCATTTTCAGATGACACCAAGCTGTGCAGCAGAATAACGTCCTTACAGGATGTCTCCAACTTACAAGCCAACCTCAATGCTCTGTTTAATTGGGCAATTATCATTAATAAAACCTCATCTGGAATATGCAGTTCAGTTTTAGGCACCAGTTTACAAAAAGGATATTGGGGGGGGGCGCATGCGCGGCCAGGAACGATGGCGGCCGCACTTTAAGTGAGCTCCGCTCATCCCCCGGCCAGTATAGACTCACCCGACAGCCGCTTCCACTCCTCTTCAGCTGCGGGTGAGTCCTACGTTCCCCGCACCCGGCCCGGCACTTGAGAGGAGACTTGATGGGGAAGATAGGGCGCTGGAGGCCCCCCTCCCCGCAGTCACGTGACCCACGGCCGTCGCCGCTCCGGTTCCTTTCAAGGCCGCAATCCCCGGCCTCTAGTATGGCTGGGAGCCCAGGAAGGGATCGCGGCCCCCCGGTGGTCACGGAGGGTACTGCACCCACAAATGTTCCAGCCTCTGCCCTGACTCAATCCCTGCTGGAGGACTATGAGCCCCAGCATGCTACTGGGGGGGCTGCGGAGCACTCTGCATCAGGAAAGCATCCTCCCTCCATCCAGGCACCTCAGCAGGCCACCTCATCAGCTTCCCTCACATTGTCAGCGTTGGATGATAAGTTACAAAATATTTTGCACAAAAAGGATATTGGGGAATTGGAGAAAGTGCAGAAAAGGGCAACCAAACTGACAGATTGTTTTAAAAAAAAAGAGCATTCTTACATGGAAAAAAATATGACTGGATACTAACAATTACAGGTAATAACACCAGGAACAGTTAATCCAGAGAATATCTGATTGCTTCCTGGGGATTTAAGATGAGATTTGCTTTCCATTTATTTTCCCCTGCTGGAGCAAACTGGATCTTTTTTTTTGCCTTCCTCTGGATCAGCTGTGGGCATATGATTATGTATATGGAGGTTTTCTATTTGTTTGTTTTTTGTTCTGTTTTTTTTCTATTGGTTGAACTGGATGGACTTGTGTCTTTTTTTTTAACCTTGCTACCTATGTACTGTAACTATCAGCTGCAGTCATTCTTCTATACTAACTGATAAGGCACCTTCATCATGGTAACCAACTCTCTTTATTATTTTCTCCTGCTTCTCTCTTTTTTAGTCCACATCTTTCCGGCGTAATTTCAGCTCTCCTATCCTTATCCATGAGCCTCTTTCCAGCCCCAAGGAGTCTCCTGCAATTGGTAAATGATAAAACATTATATTTAATTATGTGCTGCTATTGCCCCAGCTGCCTGTCTTCGAACCTTAAGCTGAAGTTTAAAATGCTTACATTTCGCTTTCCAAGGTTTTATTTCCCCCCATCAACATGCTAACAACATTTTTAAATAAAACATTTCCATTTTCATTACATACCTTACGTTAGACCCAGTGATATCATCACTAGATCTCGGTGATTTTTTTATGCAATGCAGATACACTATATTGCCAAAAGTATTGGTCGGCCTGCCTTTACACGTACATGAAATTTAATGGCATCCCAGTCTTAGTCCGTAGGGTTCAATATTGAGTTGGCCCCCCTTTGCAGCTATAATAGCTTCAACTCTTCTGGGAAGGCTGTCCACAAGGTTTAGGAGTGTGTCTATGGGAATGTTTGACCATTCTTCCAGAAGCACATTTGTGAGGTGAGGCACTGATGTCAGATGAGAAGGCCTGGCTCGCAGTCTCCAATCTAATTAATCCCAAAGGTGTTCTATTGGGTTGAGGTCAGGACTCTGTGGAGGCCAGTCAACTTCTCCCACCCCAAACTCACTCCATGTCTTTACAGACCTTGCTTTGCGCACTGGTGCGCAGTCCTGTTGGAACAGGAAGGGGCCATCCCCAAACTGTTGCCACAAAGTTGGGAGCATGAAATTGTCCAAAATGTCTTGGAAAGCTGACGCCTTAAAAGTTCCCTTCACTGGAACTAAGGAGCCAAGAACAAAACACCTGAAGAACAACCCCACACCATAATCCCCCCCCTCCACCAAACTTTACACTTGGCACAATGCAGTCAAGCAAATACCGTTCTTCTAGCAACCACCAAACCCAGACACTGATTTGTCACTCCAGAGAATATGTCTCCACTGCTCTAGAGTCCAGTGGCAGCATGCTTTACACCACTTAATTCGACACTTTGCATTGCATTTGATGATGTAAGGCTTGGATGCAGCCGCTTGCCCATTGAAACCCATTCCATGAAGCTCTCTATGCACTGTTTTTGTCTAATATGAAGGTCACACAAAGTTTGGAGTTCTTTAGCTATTGACTCTGCAGACAGTTGGTGACTTCTGCGCACTGTGCACTTCAGCATGCACTGACCCCGCTCTGTCATTTTACGTGGCCTACCACTTCATGGCTGAGTTGCTGTTGTTCCCACTTGTTCCACTTTGTTATAATCCCACTAACAGTTGACCGTGGAATATTTAGTAGCAAGGAAATGTCACGGATGGACTTATTGCACAGGTGGCAACCTATGACGGTACCACGCTTGAATTCACTCTCCTGAGAGCGACCCATTCTTTCACAAATGTTTGTAGAAGCAGTCTGCATGCCTAGGTGCTTGATTTTATACACCTGTGGCCATGGAGGTGATTGGAACACCTGAATCCAATGATTTGGAGGACTGGCCCAATACTTTTGGCAATATAGTGTAGATCATGGCTGGTGGGAGGGGTCAACAGATTGCTGAACATAGATTCCTTAAAACATCACAACACCATGTCTCATTCATGCAAGTATCAACATGCCTTGATGGGTGGATGTGAGCCTGGAAGATGGGTTGGACACAGGAAAGCTGGGAAGAATAAAAATGTTAGATGATGCTGGATATCCTACAGCCAGGAATTGAGAAACAGGCTCTGTCTGACTTGCTGCAGGTTCTAATGCACACTGTAAGAAGCTCACCGTGTGCAGTGAAATCAGAGTAAGCAATTTCAGTCCAGAAGAGGATCCTGTACAATCGACCAAGACTGAAGGTAAGACTGGATTCAACTGTCACTGAAGGAAGCTTCCCTGACAAGTTTACACAATACTTACAAAGAACACCATAGTCTTTTGCATAAATGTCTGTATATTATTACTTGATGTTTGGATTGAACAAGTCTGGTCAATTTATCTTGGTTCATGCAAAAAGTTGTAAATACCACAAAGTGCTGGAAGCTTTTTCTCAAAGTGTGGTGAAGTGCACTTAAATTATAAAGGCCACGGAACATTCTTTTTCTGCTCTTTCGTGTTTGTCATATATTTCCCACTCCTATAAGCACAGTTTTAGGGGTTTTTTTTAGACTCAGAACATTTTCAGCAAGTACAGAAAATACCTGTTGATCCTGCCAGACATACAGCATTCCAGTCACTTCCTGTGAGCGGAAAATACAGCATAAATAATATTATCTTTCTTTTGTAAACTACTGAATTCATCCACTACCATGTATTTGAGATGAACAAATTCAGACATGTTTGATGTCTAACCTGTGTGATAACCAGCGATAGATACACTGAAAATATAGAGTAGCCAAGGCAGTGCAGACTGGAAGTGTGTTAATTGCAGGGTAAAAAATGAAACTAAGGAAGAAAAGTCAACAAAAAGGACAGGTGAGCTGCAATCTAATCAATTGTTTTTGGGTTTAGATATACTTTAAGATTAAACAATATGAAGAAGGCAGAACTGAGAGGGCCTCCCTGAGGACAGGATAAAGGGTGGAATTTCCTAGAGCCCTTGCTTTAGGCCTCTGTATTGAATTAAAATACAGGGAGGCTCGATCAGTAAAATTTTTTCCCAGCAGTGGTCTGAATCTCATGTTTGTACTATGGCTCAGATCCTTCACATCACAGCTCCTTTATATTACAGGCCCCCTTTATATTAGTCTCTTTAGTCCCACCCTTTACATAACAGTCTGCTTCACATCGCAGTCCGCCCTTTACATCACAGCTTCCTCCTTAACATCAGTGTCCTCAGTCACTTCTTCATATCACAGCCCCCCATATATCACAGTCCCCCCTTTTACATCACAGCCCCCCCTTATACATCACAGTCCCCCCCTTCGAGTCACAGTTTTTGCCTTAACATCAGTGTCCTCAGTCCCCTGTTCACATCACAGCCCCCATTACATCACAGCCCCCCTTTACATCACAGCCCCCCCCATAACATCAGTGTCCTCAGTCACTCCTTCAAATCACAACCACCCCTGTACATTATAGTCTGCCCTTTACATCACAGATCCCCCCATACATCACAGTCTCCCCTACAAGTCAGAGCTTCCCCTTTAACATCAGTGTCCTCAGTCCCCCCTTCATATTACAGCCACCCCCTTATATCACAGTCCCTCTTTTACATCATAGCTCCCCCCTTCAAATCACAGCTTCCCCCATACATCACAGTCCCCTCTTCGAGTTACAACTTCCTCCTTAACATCATTGTCCTCAGTCACCCCATCATAACACAACAACCCCCGTACATCACAGTCCTCCCTTTATATCACAGCTCCACCCCCATACATCACAGTCCCTCCTTTGAGTCACAGCTTTTTCCTTAACAGTGTCCTCAGTCACCCCTTCATATCATAGCCACCCCTTTACATTACAGTCCACCCTTTACATAACAGCTCCCCTCTATACATCACAGTTCCCCCTTCGAGTTACAGCTTCCTCCTTAACATCAGTGTCCTCAGTCCCCCCATTCATATCACAGCCCCCCATACAGTATATCACAGTCCTCCCTTTACATCAGATCTCCCCCCAAACATTACAGTCCCCCCTTCGAGTCACAGCTTCCCCCTTAACATCAGTATCCTGAGTCCCCCCTTCATATCACAGCCATCCCCTTACATCACAGTCCCCCCTTTACAGTTCAGTTCCACACCATACATCACAGTCCCCCTTCTAGTCACAGCGCCCCGGTTAACATCAGTGTCCTCAGTCACCCCTTCATATCACAGCCACCACCATACATCACAGTCCCCCCTTTACTTAACAGCTCCCCTCCGTGCATCACAGTCCCCCCCCCTCAAGTCACAGCTTCCTCCTTAACATCACTGTCCTCAGTACGTTGTTCACATCACAGCCCCCCTTTACATCACAGCTCCCCCCATTACATCACAGCCCCCCTTTACATCACAGCTCCCCCCTAACAGCAGTAGCCTCAGTCCCCCCTTCATGTCACAGAGCCCCTACACATCATATTTCATCCCTCCCCCTTTACAACAAACCCCCCTCTTTACAGCAGTGCCCTCAGCCTCAACTTCACATCACAGTCCTCCCTTCATGTCACAGATAGCCCCTTACATCACAGTCCCCACTACATTATGGCCCCCTTTTCATTTATATCATATCCTCAGTCCCTCCTTCAAATCACACCTACCCTTTACAACAGTCCCCCCCCCTCCACACCCTTACATCACAGTCCTCCCTTCACATCACAGTTTCCCCCTTTACATCCCAGTCTACTTGACATCTCAGCTCCCCCCCTCCTTCCCCCTTACATCACAGTTCCCCTCTGACATTACAGACCCTCCTTAAAGGTTAACTCCAGGCTTTAATGAACTTTGAATAATTACTTTGGACCAAGCTGGCCCAAACAAACTTTCTCTTTCAAAAACACATGCATCGGCTGGAAGAAAGATTTAAACAACTCTGTCATATGGCAAGAATGGGGCCTGCCATTGGTAGTCTCCTTCTGAAAATGCTGGCTGCCTAGCTGTGTCAATAGAGGGCATAGAATTCCCTCAGAGAACAGTAGTTTGAAAGAGAACCAACAGCGGTGTAAATAAAACCAATAGCTTTATTATACTTCACAAAAATTGGTAATAGACCTATTAGGTCAAAGGATCCTCCATTCACATCAATAAAATGGATAACGTTATCACTTTAAAATGGCCCGGGCCACACTTACTCTGAATATAACATAATACTACTACCTTGCGTCTTACAGGGGTCAATAGGCCACAGTCTTGCATAGTGAACTTGCCAAATCCCATAAGGAATGGCAGTCACAAAAATTGTTAATATTAACCACATTAGTATGATATCTCCCAGCTGAATACTGTATGGAATTGGCAATTTACTTCCCTTTCAGGAATGGCAGCCACAAAAATTGTTAACATTAACCACATTGGTATAATATCTCGTAGTTAGATACTGCATATTAAGTGGCTTAATGGTCTGTTCATTCAGAAAATCCACTTCATCTGCTCACAGGTAAATTAAGAAAAATTAAACATCTACCTTTAATAGACATCAATGGGTGATAATGTCAATATTTTATGATGAAACAATGAGGGCTGATGTCCCTTTAACCTAATCACAGGTATAGGTGATTTGATTATCTCCAAATCACTATGTTGACATAAATTACATTGATTTCCCACTTCAAATAGAGGCTAATAGCCCTGTAATGATGAAAGTAGAAGATTAATAACTCCAAGGTGATGAGTCAGTTCAGTCCCGTTCAATCACAGGTGTATTGATCTCATGGATTTCCAATTGAGATAAAGGCTTGAATAGTCTAATGTTAAAGAACTGAAGGATATGTGATCCAGTATAGTTAACTCAGTCCAGTTTGATCACCAGTGCAACAGAAACAATGTCCAAAGTCAACATTGACCATTTATGGAGTCACTATGGGTTTATTTACTAAAGCTGGAGAGTCCAAAATCAGACTCCCTTCTGCATAGAAACCAATCAGCTTCCAGGTTTCATTGCCAAAGCTTCATTGAACAAGCTGAGGTTAGAAGCCGATTGGTTTCTATGCAGAAGGGAGTCTGATTTTGGACTCTCCAGCTTTAGTAAATAAACCCCTATATGTCAAAGTGAAAAATCGGACCATGTATTGAAAAGTACTCAATAAATTGCTGATACAGCCATTGCCGCTGAAAAAAATGTGCCCACAGGCTCTCACCACTCCAAGGTAATTGTAAGCGTATAATGCCAGCATAGCAGACTTCATGTAGTAAGATTATAACAACTTGGCATGCCTTTGGATATCCGGATTATCCATGTCCTCCAAACAGACAAACCAGGCTGGAGAGAGTGACCCCATATAGGTAGTAATAGTGGTAGCGGTTCACAGCGGTATTTCCGGTAGTATAGTTGAGGAGGTGTGCACGTTTACCGCCCCTCTCGAAGTGGCGTGAGGCGGATCAGCATGTGCCCATTCCCGTAGGTCTGGCCCAGGATCTGGCTGACTCTGCCTACGTCAACACGTTTCACACACATGACCATGCACTTTGTCAGGACATTGGGACATTCACGGACTCCGGCCTTTTCACGAAACAGATGTCCCGTTCAACCAATCAAAGAGGCCGAGGGTGGTCCCCTATTTAAAGGGCAGCACTTATATATTCGCAAAATCATTACTATTAAAAGATAATAGGTGGATTTTGACACAAGGCCATTCTACATGTTCTCAATTAGTTTAAAAAAAAACCTTTAAACATCCAAAGTGATTATATAATTGCATGTTAGCACATTCCATATGGAAAAAATGATGTTCAGCAAAATGTTGGGCCAAAGGCATGTCTTCATTTAGTGTAATACTTTTCAGATGTTCCCCTACCCTAATGTGAAGTTGGCGCTTTGTTTTCCCTACATAGTATTACAAGGGCACTCAATAATGTAAAGGACCCGAGTTGTGGCACAGTTTATAAATTGTCTTATCTGATACTGTCTTTTTCTGTCTGAATCCATGAAAATTTCCGTTTTGTCCACAAATCAACATATATTACAATGGCCACAGGGAAACATTCCTTTTAGCTCAGGGAGGTCTGTCAGCCAAGTTCGACTGGTAGTCCTAATGAACTCAGACTATATAAGTAAATCATTAAAATTTTTAGCTCTCCTTGCTACCATTAATGGTCTGGGGCCTACAATAGATTGTAATTCATTTGACCGTGTCAGCATGTGCCAATGTCTCTCAAGGATTTCTTTAACCACATTCCACTGTGTCCCAAATTGGGTAATAATTCTCACTGGACCTTCACCT